TGGTAGCTAGGAGTGGTCCAAAATTATCAGCAGGGGCAGGGGGTTCACGTGAGGTGCATTGGATAGCTGGTCGCACGATGTTAGCTACTTTTTCTTGTAATGCGTCCAGGCTTACAAGAAAACTTATTGTGGTGCAAATTCCTCACGGTCATCATCATCAGTTCCTTTGGCCCTCACTTTTAAATTGTCATAGAAAATAATTCTCTCGTCGTTGATTTCACATTATCTGCACAATCACAACCAACACACAACCCTTCTCATTAAGAACAACAGTTTTATCAAGAAAAAATAGCCGTGATAAAACTTTCCACCACATGCAACGAAATGCCCTAAATGAAACTATATGCATCTAAAATGCTTATAACAATATCTTATAGACAATTGATAACTTAAGTAAAAAGACCCAAAATATAGCGTGTTTATAGAGTTATCAGCTAGCTTGATTTTTCCTGGATGTTTGAAGCAAGTACGTAGTCCTTGTAATACGAGAAGGCTGTAAAAAGAATAGTTTAAGGTATAATAAGATGTAGGTGTGGTGTTAGTTTAGGAATAAGGATGATAAATGATGATGTTTAAGGACTGGTTTTAAGGACATAGATGGCACAAATATGGTGGTGATGATATGAAGATGGATGTTTGGAAGGGTGAAAGTAAATATAGAATAATATTGGGATCAAGAAATAACCTTTGTTATAAAGAGCATCGACCTAAACCTTATAAGAAGCTTTGCTAAGATGAAATATGACTTGGACACTCTAGTTATAAAACTAGGAACCACAAGTAACAAAGATAAAGATGAATCCATACGTACAAGACTTAATAAATCTATATAGTTCTTAGAATCACAAAAAGAGATAAATTCCAAAACATATGTTTTGTCTTGAATGTAATGATTTGAATACAAATGAAAAACCAAAGGCCTTTATATAGTTTACAAAGTCATATGGTTCAATGGGTATGAAATCATTTGGAAAGATAGCCAACCAATATGAATGGAAGAGAACATCTTCATGTTTAAATTTGAATCCAAATGAATCTTCACTTTTGCGCCAAGGTTGCCATCCAACCTTATATGGAAATGGCCTTTTTTTGGATGCTTCTTTTCATGGATTGATAACTTTATGAAAGGTAACAACATGTAAAATCATGATGCTTGACTTTGGTGACATTTCATAAAGAGGCACATTGGATAAATGACGTCTTTTGGTATAAACTCATCAAGAAAAGGCTTGTCACTTGAATGAAACTTTTAATGAAAAATACATGATGCTTCAAAAGTAACCTTTGATGAAGAGACATGAATCTTGGTGAAGAGTCACAATTATAGGTGAAACGGTATGGCTTGAAGAAGTATCCCTTGATTAGAAGAGATGACTTTTGGTTGCACCTCTTGATGAAAAGTAACAACTTTTGGTGAACATACATGACTTCAAGTGGCATCCATTATTGAAGAGGCATGACTTGAGATGACACCTTTTGATGAAGAGGCATGAATCAAAATGACATCCTTTGGTGAAGAAGCGTGACTTGAAGAGACATAACTTATGGTGAGGCACCTCTTGGTGAAGGGTCATGACTCTTCATGAAAAGGTATTTGTTTTCCTATAGCATTGCATCCCTTCCTCTCTTAGTCGTTTCATAGTATGTCCCTTATATTTAGATTCTAGTTGTTGGTTCTCTCCAAATTCCTTAGCCATTTTTCCATCCAAAACAATACATAGAATATATTAGAGTTATATAATATAAATAAATCATATGCTATAACATGTATATGACATATACCTAAGTAAATATGAAAATGCAACAACATACTTATGTAATTGAGATGTAAAATATATGATGCAAACTAATCATGCACTAAACATAAACATGTGAACTATAGGTCAAATACATAACTATCATATAATATGCAAATCATAATAAATAATGAATGGAAACATTTTACGATAACCAATGCCATAATGTATAATGTTAAGTATGATAATAGCATAAACATATATGAAATATATGATATGATATCCTAAGTATATGATGATATGAACATGCATACTTATAACTAAGCGTAAGGCATATATAAAATAAAGATGTGTAAGGAAATAAATAGGTCCATCTATGTAACATCTGAAAATCTAGGTTAGTAGCTCATAGTTGAGGTTAGGTGATAACTCCGTAAAAGGCTATATTTATAGCCTTTTCACTTAAGTTATTGGTTGTATAAAACCCCATATAGAATCATATAGATGTATTTAGATGCATACAGTTGCACCTGGTGGACATACAATGTCGTGGCATTTTATTTTGAATTTGGTGTTGCGTTATGGGAAAGATGGTCTATTTGATGATGTGTACGATTCAGGAGCAAGGATGTGTAAGGAGAATTGTCATGACAATTTGGATATGCTGAGCATAATATGAATGTCATGACAACTGAGTCATCATTTCTGGGTTGAAAAGACAAAAAGAATATGTTTTGTAGGATCCAACTATCCTTGTTTACACATGCTCTCTATTGTAGCCACCTAGGAGGGGACCACTGCCACATCTGTACCAACCACCATGTGAAAGGAATGAACCAATGGGTACAATGGAAATTTTGACGTAAATCAATAGGTTTAGGCCCCACTCTAAATAGGATATGAGGTCACCATATTTGGGAGACTTGATTTTTGAAACATTTTGAGCTTAAATTATTGAGAGGAGATACGACTGGAAAAAAAGTTTCACCCTTTATCTTTCCCTTCATCTTTTTTGTGATGTTCCCCTATTAGTAAACTAAGGTGATTCGTGGTTGCCGATATGAGCTCTGACAGTGCATGTCGAATACTTTTCCTTCATCCCTTTGTTGTTCTTTCTTACTTATCATATTCGAGTTGTAAGTAACGAATGGATTTTATGATTTATTTCATGGAATATTCAAACCCCACCATGAACTAGCTTTATTTGGTAGGAGTTCACCATGTATGTTTAAGTTTTTCTTTAATGGATGGTTGTTTTTCTTTACATTTTTATTTTTTTGCTTATAGTGTTTACTGACTTAAGGTTGTAGGAGCTATGAGAGTAGCCATTCCTTAGAAGACTACTTAGTGTTTGAGAGAAACTAAGTAACTCTTCTTTAGTGTTCAAGAGAAGGTAACGAGGGTTAACATAATCAACGCTATTTAGATGGTAACTAGACCTAAGCCATCCTTAGGCATAAGTCTAGGATTTCAATCGACTAAAAGGAGTAGTGCTCAGTCGAGAGGTTAGATGTTAGTGCTGACGCTGAGTCGTATTGACGTGACATATTATGTTGATATGAACCAATAGAATCCATGCACAGCTAACGCCGATAGTTATTGCCATGGAATTCTCAACCTATCGAGTCCCTTTACTTGAGATAGCATAGGGCATTTTCATAAACTCTTTTGGGAAAGTAAGACATAGAAGTAAGACCATCCTGAGAAGATAGGCTTAAGTTTTCGAAGTGACTCCTCTCATTCATTCCTATACTAGCTTGTTCTGTAAGGATTATCAAGTCATTTTATTCAAATTCAGTGTTTACATTTTTTTTGCTTTTACATTTTCATTTGATTGCACTACACAAATATTTTTTCTCATGATATTTCCAGCAATTGGCCACAACATCTCTATTTGTGGCCACAACATCTCCATTTGTTGCCACATCACACTATCAATATGTCCCCATCATCATACATTTCATGTTGCCTCAACATTCTCATTAGTACATACCATCAGACTAACTATACTTAGATAAAGTAGTTCTTTGCTTTGATTGAACTTATAAATTTCTTTCAATCCCTGCGGTGACGATACTCGCTCATCACTGTAATCCTTTTTTGATTGTGTATACTTGCATATTCTTAGTGTCTGTATTTATACCTAACAAAACACATACAAGTTTTTGGCGCCGTTGCTAGGGATTGGCAATTAGAAGTTAGTTAGATTTGTCGTAGAGTCTTACTTGTTCTTTTCCTTGTCTTTTTCAGGTTTTTGTTGGTGTTTAACAAGAATAAATTCTGACGAGCCTTTAGAACCCTTATGAAGTTGCCCGACAACAAATTCATAAATTCTTGAAGGTGTGTGATTATTTTTGAAAAAAAAATTAGTTCATGAGGATGTACTAGAGTTAAAGCTATTTCCATATTCTCTGCGTGACCAAGCAAAATCTTGGTTAAGTGGTGTTCCAATTGGCTCGATGAACTCTTGGCATGATTTGTGCAAATGTTTTTTACTATGGTATAATCCACCGAACATGAACACCCAACTTAGCAATGACATTGCTTCTTTTTGTCAAGCTGATGACAAATCAATGTATGAATTCTGGTATCAGTATAAAGGATTTCTTCACAAATGCTCTAATCATGGTTTTCAAGATAAGACTCAAGTAGTAATGTTATACAATGGAGTCAATGCACCCACGAGGATGATGCTATATGCCTTGGCAAATGATATATTTCTCAATAAATCACCTATAGAGGAATTTGACATTCTAGATAGGATTGAAAACAATGATTATAATTCCCATCTACAAGGCTTAGAGCCGGGCAAAAAGTGTCAGGGACATTCGATTTGGATATGAAGGATTCAGTGTCTATCCTACTTTCTGCCATCACCAATATGTTAATGAATTTGCAACGATCAAATGAGGTTAAAGAAGTAAAGTAGTCAACTAAAAAAGGTTATTATGACATGGCAATCGATATTAGAGCGAGTGTCCTACCAATCAGGAATCCACCAACTATGTAGGAAATTACAATCGAGGAAATTACAGCCCATATTCTAACAACTATAACCACGGATGTCATCAGCATCCAAAATTCTCATGGGGAAATCAAAGAACCAACAATGCAAGTCAGCCCGCTGGGTAACAGAATGTGAATGAATCCCCATGATTTCAAACGAACATGCCATGGCATAATTCTAAGAAGGGAGTACTATCTTCATCCAACACAAGTTCTTTCGAAGCCATGATTTAAGATTTTATAGCGACCACAAAGAGCATGTTGCAAGACCATGCTACATCCATCAAAAACCAAGGAGTCTTAATACAAAGTCAACCAGCTTTGCTTCAAAGCCATAACACGTCTTTGAGGGCTTTGGATGGTCAGGTTGGTCAAATTGTCGTGGCATTACAAGAACGTCAACCATGTCGACTACTGAGTGAGACTGGAGTCACTAAATGTCACGGTAAAGAGCAATATAGTTCACTCACTCTGAGGAGTGGCACCCAAATCAATGTACAATACAAGTTTGGGGAAAGAAAGATGGATGATTCAACCCCTGACACTGTGCAAGCTGAGCATGTAGATCCAGTAGATATACAAGTGGAGGAGGATAAGGATGACGGTTCATCAAGTGAAATTATTGAGGGAGAAAACAAAAATTCCACGACAAAAGTTGTTCCCACCCCTTCATTAGATGAATTCAAACCCTCACCACCCCTCCCACAAAGACTGATGAAGCATAATGATGATATTCAATTCAAGAAGTTTGTCGACATTCTGGACCAACTCTATATCAATGTTCATTTTCTTGAAGCTATAGAACAAATACCTACATATGTCAAATATCTTAAAGATATTGTTACCAATAAGAGAAAAATTGAGAAGTACGAGTCCATTGCCACTACAAAAACATATTGCTCTGCCTTATGCAAGCTGGCACCAAAACAAAATGATCCAGATAGCTTTTTTATTCTATTCTATATAGGTGAAAATTATGTTAGGAATGAACTATTTGACCATTGCTCAAGTGTGAACTTAATGCTAAAGCCAATCTTCTTGATGCTTGGATTGGGAAATACAAGACCCACATCCCTTATTTTGCAACTAGACGATCGTTCCCATATTTTTCTTGAGGGGCAAGTCGAGGATGTTATCTTCAGGGTGGAAAAATTTGTGTTCCTCGTAGACCTCCTTATACCTGATTTCAAGGTAGATTCCACGAAACCCATAATATTATGGAGACCCTTCCTAGCTACTGGCATTTTCTTATTGATTGTGAGAATGGCGAGCTCAACATGAGAGTGGCTAACAAATTTTTTGACCATGAATGTCTTATGTACTCTCAAGTATGTGGATAAGTCTAAAAAAATCTAAGACCATTCCGAAAGCAAACTCATTGCTAGCAGGAGAAGCTGGTCAATTTTCCATAACAGTTTCATTCATTTGGAAAATTTTGAGATGCTTATTGAAGAGGAAAGCATCGAGAAGCCCAATGACTTTTCTATAGAGGTACAACAGACTTGCTTTCTCATAGCTAGCATAGGTACAAACTTTGAACCTCTTTATATTGATGAGTTTGTTCCTCCTAAGCCCTCATTACAGTATACACTTACCCTAGATTTAAAGAATTTGTCACAGCATCTTAAATATGCTTACTTGGGTAGTGATGAAACTTTACCTATTATGACATTGTATGTCATTACTCATAGCCAGAAATGTAGTTTGTTAAGTGTTTTGTCGTAGCATAAAAAAACTTAAGGATGAACAATGGCGGATCTAAAAGGGATAAGTCCCACTATTTGTATGCACTAGATTATACTGGAATAATTCCATGGCAAATCCATAGAGCCACAAAGAATACTAAACCATAGAGCCACAAAGAATACTAAACCCAGTGAAAAAGGTGGTAATGAAAGAAATCCTCAAATATATTGATATTGAAGTTATTTACCTCAGATCTAATAGTTAATGGGTGAGTTCTGTACAATGTGTGCCCAAGAAAGGAGTCACGATTGTATTAACTAGTGAAGACAATGAATTATTACTAACACGCAATGTCACCATATGAAAGATTTCCATGGACAATCACAAGCTAAACAAGGCTACCAAGAAGGACCACACTTTCGTTTGCCATTCATTGATCAAAAGCATGATCGATTAACATAAAATGCATTTTACTACTTCTTGGACATATATTTTGGGTATTATCAAATTGCCATCGCAGCAGATCACTAGGAGAATACTACGTTCATGTGTCTCTATGGCACGTATGCTTTCAGACGAATGCCTTTTGGACCCTGTAATGCCCCAAAAACTTTTCAAAGCTTCATGCAAGCTATCTTCTATGACATGGTTGAGGACTTTCTAGAAATCTTTATGGATGACTTCTCCATTTCTGGAGATAACTTTGAGAAATGCCTAACAATATGGAAAAAGGTACTCAAGTGATGTGAGGAGGCTGTCCTCATGCTGAAATGGGAAAAGTGTCACTTCACGGTGACCAAAGGCATTGTGGTCGACCATAAGATATCTCTTAAAGATGTTGAACTGGACAAAGCCAAAATCGAGGTGATCGAGAAGCTACCCCCACCAATATCTGTCAAGGGCATTAGGAGTTTCCTTGGATATAATGGGTTCTAAAGAAGATTTATCAATGAAATTTCCATGATATCCAAGCCCTTATACACCTTGCTTCAACAAAATCAACCCTTTGTGTTGGATGAAAATTACCATGACACGTTCAGCAAGATAAAAAAAAGACTTATCACTGTACCCATTATGTTTCCCTCGATTGGACATCACCATTTGAGCTAATGTGTGATATGGGTGATTATACCGTGCGAGCTGTGGTTGGGTAATGTCGAGGTAAAATTTTTCATGTTATATATTATGCTAGTCGTACTTTAAATGACGCACACTTGAACTATACTACCAATGAGAGGGAATTACTTGCCGTGGTATTTTCTTTTGACAAGTTTAGGTCATACTTGATAGGTGCCAAAGTCATTGTTCACACTGATCATTCTGTTATAAAATACTTAGTGAACAAGAAAGATTCCAAACCTAGACTGTTTAGATGGATAATACTATTGCAAGAATTTGACTTAGAGGTAATAGATAGAAAAAGGTATTGAGAACTAGGTTGTAGACCATCTATCTAGGCTAGAGAAAATTTCAAAATGTCATGACAATTTATACACTTAAGAAGAATTCCCTTATGAGAAAATCTTATATGTCACAACAATTCCATGGTGCACTGACATAGTAAATTTTCTTGTTAGTGGTATTATGCCTTATGAATTGAACAGTTAGGGTAGAAATAAGCTCAAGCATGATGCCATGTTCTATTGTTGCGTCGAGCCATATTTATTCAAACAATGTACAAACCAGATTATTCAACATTGTGTCCTTGAGGAAGAGCAAAGAGACATTCTACACTATTGCCAAATAACCCCCTGTAGAGGTCATTTTGGAGGTGTGAGGACCACTGGTAAGGTCATTCATTTAGGCTTTTATTGTCATTCCATGTTCAAGGATGCTCATGAGTTTTGCAAAGCATGTGATAGATGCCAGTGCACTAGGAATATTTCCAGACGACATGAAATGCCATTGCAAAACATTATGGAGATCGAGCTCTTTGACGAGTGGAAATTTATTTCATGTGACCATTACTATATTTTTAGAGAGTTATATATATTTCTTATGATGGACTACATATCTAAATGGGTTGAAACAATTGTAACACAGAGTAATGACTCTAAGACAGTCCCCAAGTTCCTTCATATGACCATCTTCATGTGATTCATAGTACATATAGCCATTATCAGAGACGAAGCCCCTTATTTTGATAACAAGCTAATTGCCAAGGTATTACAACAATATGGAGTGCCACACAAAATTTCCATGGCATATCATCCAAAAACCAATGGCAAGCTGAAGTATCCAACCTTGAGATTAAGCAAATTCTGGAAAAGGTAGTGAATCCAATGAGGAAAGATTGGTCCCCGAAGCTTGATAAAGCACTTTAGACTTATCGAACATCATTCAAAATGCCTCTGGGAATGTAACATTTCCAGATGGTGTATGGTAAAGCATGCCACCTACCAGTAGAGTTAGAGCATAAGTCATATTGGGCTATCAAGAAGCTTAATTTTGATGCCCAACTAGTTGGGAGCAAATATTAATGGACCTGAATGAAATAGAATAGTTTAGAGAACAAGTATATGAAAATGCCAAACTTTACAAGGAAAAGTCTAAGAAGTGTCATGATTGAATGCTTTTTCCAAGGCATTTTCATGTTCGTCAGCAAGTGCTCCTATATAACTCAAGGTTGAAGTTTATTCCTGGCAAACTTAGTCAAGATGGTATGGACACTTTGAAGTACACCATGTCTAACTACATTGTGTTGTTAATATAAGGAACATATATGTTGAGACCATTTTCAAAGTTAATGGCCAGCGTATAAAAGTATACCAAGGAGCCCCGCCCTTGTGTGACAAATCGACATTATTCTTGCAAGATGCCTGAGTCTTCCCGTACATCATTTTAAAAATTCCATGACATTTTAGATTTACTCCTACTCACAAATTAAACGTTAAATTTATTTAATTTTAATATAGATTCAGTTTTTTCAATTAAATTAGTTATTTTAAAAAATTTTAGGTACCCACTCATATGGCATGTGAGGATAATACGATTAAATATAGAGGACACAACCAAAAATGCTATAGCAATCCCCTCAGTGAATGGGTGGACGTCGTTTGAAGAAGTTGTTTGATCACGAGGATCCTCAATTCACCTCAATCCCAGAAGGACTTAGGACTCCCCATACTGCACCGCTAATGAACTCTAAACATTCCACCCCCACAACATTACGCAAGCGCTCGCGTCGCATAGCTGTCGCAATACCACCACCATAAATAGTTAAGGTACCTTGCATTTCATTTTATAACATGTAGTTTAGTTTTAAATTAGTTTTTATCAAGCATGGAGGACAATTATTCTTTCAAGTTTGAGGTAGGTAGGGTTCTTGTTAAATCATTGCATGATAGTATTAGCAGAATAAATATTCCATGACATTAGTAAATGTTGTAGTTAGTTTGTTTGGAATAAAATAATGATGCTAGATAATGATGAACTGTTTATGGCTAGAATTGAATATACATGACTGTTGACGATGATATAAACAACTCTAAGACTTGCTTCTCTGTAACCTTTGATACACGATTGTATGTTTTCCATGCTTAAGGAACTATTATAAGAGAACTCTTGCATGTCTTGGCATAAATCTTTAACAATGTCATTGAATGATGAAAACCCCACATGTTTCTAAAAATGAAAGAAATTGTTATGAAAAAATTAAATTGTGAATAAATGCTTCAGTATAAATGAAGATGGACATGCTTCTATGCCATGGCATTACCTGGATATTGCATTTAAACAAATGGATGCCACGACAAATGAGTCAATGAAATTAGTCACATGATGACTCTATCTTATTAGCTCGGGGGTTAAAGGTATACTCCCTTTCACCTAGAGTGTGAGATAGTAGGTGTGATGAGCTACCAACCCTCGTAGCAGTAAAAAAAAAGAGAGAAAAAAGCATTGTGGATTTTCTAGATTTTTAAGCATGGACTAGATACAATAACGCACATACACAAAGGATCTTGCCCTAGGGAATAGTACTTGATTTCTCAAACTAGTCTAACGTGTTGCAACCAACTATTATGATGGTTGAAATTCTATCACATATAACTATCTTGAACCTGAACTTGCCATGGTGTTTTTGTTTTGCTTACTACTATCTATTGTTTAAGTACAAGTAAAAGCTTAAGTTTGGGGGTGTGATAACTTTGTAAAAAGGTTATATTTAGGGCATTTTCACTTAAGTTATTAGTTGTCTAAAGGCCCATATAGGATCATATAGATGCATTTAGGATCTTATAGTTGCATGTGGTGGATATACATCATCATGGAATTATATTTTGAAATTGGTGTTACGTTATGGGAAAGGTGCTTTGTTTGATGATGTGTAGGATTCGGGAGCAAGGATGCGTGAGGAGAATTGCCATGATAAATTGGACATGCTGAGCATAATGTGAATGTTGTGAAAACACAGACAACATTTCAAGGAAGAAAAGATAAAAAAAAAAGATATTTTTATAGGGGTTAGTTGTCCTTGTCTACACATGGCCTCTATTCTAGCCACCTAAGAGGGGACCACTGCCATATTTGTACGAACCCTCACGTGAACATAATGAAACTTGGGTACAATGAAAATTTGAACACAAATTTCTAGG